GATGGCCCAGTTAATCGAGTGCAATACAGTGCTCCATATGCTCAGATGCGACACAACTCAGATGAAGAACAATATAACAATCAACAGGAGTACAAATATCAAATTCAACCTCAAAAAGTTGTAGCTCATGAGAACAAATCTGCAAAATTGATCGCTGAAGATAAACCTGTAAAAGATGAAAAGAAAACATCAATGGATAATACAATGGAAAAAGATGCTCCACAGGCACATATCGAAATTAAAATCCCAAATTCGTCGCATGATTCAAATAAAGCTATAGTTGTTAATTCTAAAATAAGACCCATGATGATGGACGATGATAGTGACCAAACTCACCATTCCAAATTGGAAATTTCTGTAGCAAATAAAGGAGAATCTCAGAAACACCACCAACAACAAACATCGAAAGACGAATTCGACAACAGCGATCAAAAGGATATTGACGACAATAAAAATGATAGTGACATCGACAGTGAACATTTATCTAATTTAAAATCAAAGCCAGACTGTGATCAATCCTCTACAACAGAGGAAAAGGGAAATTACGAAGTTTCTCCCGATTACAATAATTATAGACAACAAAAATTCATGCGTATTGTAGAAGGATCTAATTCTGCTTCCACGCAAACTGCTAACGAAGCTTCATCTACCAGCGAATCTGAAGCTGTTAAGACAAACAATCAACATCACAATGTGGAAGAAAATACAAAAAGTACTAGTGGTCACGTGAGTTCACCAGGATCCCGTGTCATTGCAGCCACACCACCTCTCAAAGAATCAACACCTAGCGAAAGTTTCCATAAGCGTCGTATTGTTGTAAATCATCCTTTCCAGACCGTACGCGAAGTTGTCGAACACGAACCCTACACTAATTATCACGAAGTGCAAGTAAGTGAACCAGCTACGCCTGCCCTCTATCACTCTGCTAACTATTACCAACCCCATGGATCTTTCCGACAATCTGAAAATGGACATTCCAATTATTACCACTAAGTGGAGTGAAAGCAACATTATAAAACGCGCTGGTTGAAATCGAGTTGTTTGCTTAATTAATGCATTTAACATTTAAGTTATTACTAATATGTGTCTAAAACGATTTTCATATACTATACATACATACTTATAAACAATGAATTATACTATTCTGTGGGTTTAGTTGGTGTTTTTAAAAATAATAATAATAACATTGTACGATTAATAATATTCTTCATTAATATTTAAGTTATTTACTTAAGTTATATTTTTTTAATCTTAATTTTAATACTTTATTCTAAGTTTTTAATAAACGCAATAATATGCAAATGCATATAAAAAATTTAAATAATTATGTTTCTTCTATAATTAGAATTACCCAGCAAAATCTTTACTTACCCGGTAAGTAGGCAAGTAATATTGGAGCAACGTGTAAGTACTTCCTTTTTGGGTGAATAACTACTTATTTTTGTTTGACGATGACCAAAAAATAACTGGTTACAAATGTGCTTACCCGACTTTTCCGGATTTAAAACCGACCTAACAGTTATTTTCTGTGTTTATTAGTATATTCTATTACCCAATGCCCCATTAACAAATTGTTTTATCGTGCTATTTGGAATAGTTTTTACATGAAGGTACAAATCAATATTTCTTCAAAAATCGTCTAATATCGACTAGGCTTAAAACCATTAACCAATTCCTTATTAGACATACGCTCTATACATCTGGCAACAAATCCTACCCAAAAAAATTAAATAATACTCATTACCAAAATTTGAAAATATTTTACTGGGTAGTAAATGTTCACGTTTGAACTAGTAATTATTCACATTTGAGTGTTATATTCGGCTTTTTCTACATTTACTTTAATGAGCCGTTAGGTGCACAAAATCTAAAAAGGGACATTAATTAATTTTGAATTCTCCATTTCCAAAAAAAAATGTTAAATGAAATTTAAAGATTAGTTAATCTAAAAAAATAATCTAATGTTGATCCCTTTCGCAGTGATGCCATACAAAACAACAGATAACGTCAATGCTTTCTATTAAAACAATTCGTGTTTTATGTAAAATATGACAAGAATATGAAATATGAAAATTAACGAAAACTCAAATTAAAACAAAAAAATTTTTATTTTGAAGTCTCAGTAATTTATGTATAAATTGTCAATTTTCTGCCTTATATAGTCAAACCAGGAAATGATTCTTGAACGGCACATGCAAACAGCAATCCACACTTATCCTGTGTCCTGTTTCTGATTTTTATTGGCTTTCCAATCTAATTATTCAAATTTTTTGATGTTTTATTTTATATTTTTTATACCCTCCGCCACCATCAGTGGTGATAAAGAGTATATATAAGTTTGCCATTCCGTGTGTAACACCAAGAAATATTCATCTGAGACCCAGCAAAGTATATATATTCTGGGTCCTTATGAAATTTAGATTTCGATTTAGTCTGTTTGTCTGTGTACAACACGCTCACGTTAAAGCGAAGCAATGGAAATTAATGAAATTCAGCCAAAATATTCAATATTATCCCGTACAGTTTGGTATTGAAAAATGAGCAAAATCGGTTCACTTCGGGAAGAGTTATGAATCAAAATTTAAAACAACTCCGAAAAAAATAAGCATTTTTTACACATTCTGATGTAATTTTCTCGAAAACCATGGTATAAAGAAAACAAGGTAACTCCGTTCTCTCTCAATGAAAAGTTTTTTGACGTAAATAAGAATTATTGAAATTTATTTTTTGGAAACAAGTAAAGAAAAACGTTGCCACATATGTAGTAGGGGATATTATATTTAGGAAATTAGAAATAAAAAAAGTGTATTTTTTCTACTAGATACATTTATACATACATATGTTTGTATGTCCAGTAATACTGGAATTTTGTAAATACATATGCATGTATATAAATATATTTTAATAATTGTTTTATTGTGGGCTTGTATTTTTACATAAACTAACATTTTTACAGATAGAATCAAGTTGATTAACCATACATTCGCTAGAATATTCGACTCAGAGGTATCATTTGCAATGGTTTTTAAAGCCGAATCGAATGATCTATTAATCATATGATCTATTAATCTCCTCATATCAAACAAGTTAGAATGCTATATTCGGCACTGCCGAATCTTAAATACCCTCCACCTGCAAACTACTTTTTATTAAAACCCAAAATGAATATGTTATAAATGGTTAAAGTTATTGGGCCGAATGTATAGTTTATACTAAAGAAATAAATTTTACTTAAGTATCAAAGTACATACTAAGTACTAAAGTACTTTATTTTCCTTATGGAGAACTGTAAAACCCGGCACATATTTTGTTTCCGTAATTAAGATACTATTTATCATTTTGTAACTTATTTATGCATGTATGTATGTAACTAATTTTGATTAGGCCCAGAAAAATTTAAGTGATTTTCAGATATCGGCCGATTATTCTTCGACCTATTATGTTCCGATCCTGCCGATAAATTATATGGGAACTATGACCAATAATGGACCAATTCGAAAAAAAAAAATAATCAAAATGATTTACCTATACACAGAACATACTCATGTCGAGTTTAATAATAAATTATGTGGTATTAAGTGGTTTTCAGAAGTGAACCTTATATGGGAGCTAGTTATGGACCGATGCTGAAAAAATTCCTTATATGGAATGTAACCAATTATGGACCGATGTGGAAAATTTTCACGAATGATTTATATATACAAAACAAATTCACGTCGAGTTTTACCCTGATAGCCTTATTTATCAATGAATTATGCATTTAGGTGATTTTCGGATGTGGACCTTATATGTGAGCTATGACCAATTATGGACCGATCCGAAAAAAAATTCGTAAAGTAATTAATATTTATACACAAAACATATTCATATCGAATTTTATCCCGATAGCTTTATTTATCAATGAATTAAGCTTGTTTAAGTGATTTTAGGATGTGGACCTTATATGGGAGCTAGTACCAATTGTGACTGAATGATTTATATCTATATACAGAACATATTCACCTCGAGTTCTACCTTGAGAGCATTATTAATCAATGAATTATGCGCATTTGAGTGATTTTCGGATGTGGACCTTATATGGGAGCTATGACCGATTATGGACCGATCCGGAACAAATTTCGTAGAGTAATTTATATACACACAAAACACATTCATGTCGAATTTTATCCAGATAGCTTTATTTATCTATGAATTATGCTCGTTTAAGTGATTTTCGGATGTGAACCTTATATGGGAGGTATGACCAATTATGGACCGATCCGAAAAACAATTCCGTAGAATGATTTATGTATATACAAAACATATTCATGTCGAATTTTATCCCGATAGCTTTATTTATCAATAATATATGTTCATTTAAGTGATTTTCGAAAGTGGACATTATATGGGAGCTATGACCAATTGTGGACCGATACAGATCTAAGTCGGTAGTTTTGATTCCTGTTCATATAATGTCAATATGTACAAAATTTTGTGTTGATACCGATATATTTGAAGAAGTTATTAACTATAAATTAATTTCCGGGAATATGTACCTTTGTATGGGGGCTATGGGAAATTTTGGATCGATTGTTACAATTTTAAACATAATTAATCTATAGATGGAAAAAATAATCTGTGACAAAATTTGTCGAATTATCTTTGGTAGTTTCTGAGAAAACTACTCAGGAATTAGGGAAAAAAACTTAATTTTTTTGAGGTAGTCTGAAATTTTTACTCATAACTTTTTACGTTGTGGACCGATTTTGCTGATTTTCAATACCAAACTGCTTAGCAAAACAATGAATATTCTCAGTGAATTTGGTTGATTTCATTTGCTTAGTTTTAACGTGAGCGTGTTTTAACCAGACAGACAGACGGACATAGCTAAATCGACTCAGAATTTCATAAGGACCCAGAATATATATACTTTGTTGGGTCTCAGATGAATATTTTTTGGTGTTACACACGGAATGACAAACTTATATATACCCTCTATCACCACTGATGGTGGTGGAGGGTATAAAAACATTCAAATTATACTCATGTTGTATATATTGTTTAAGAAAAACTGAACAATTTTAAAAAATACTAAAAAGTGTCTTTTTTGTAACCACTCATCGGCCATCGATAGACTCAAAACATTTTGGGAACCATCATAAAACAAAAATATTTTTGAAGCTGCGTATAACTTTTAAATTAATCATTTAAAATTGTGTGCACTAACAATATTTTCATAAAAACGGTCCAGCTCATAAACGGACCACACTAAACCCCAAATATTTTGGGTAATATCATATGATATGACATTAGGTACAATTTATATTTTGAGAAGAGTAACTCAAGTAGCATTGTTGTAAGTCGGTCTGTAAACCATAAATTCTTTTGAATTGAAGTCGACATCCAGAGGATTTGATTGGCATGTGTCCTTAAGTTGTCCTAAATTTAAAACGAATGTCCTATATGGAAACAGAATTTGATTAATTTCACAGAACAAGTTCGTGTTGAATTTTATCTTAATACCACGATTTATTTACATTAAACCCCAAAATAACACTTCTTGCAGTTGTTTACGTTGAATTTTGTCGCTATACTCGCATTTTTAAATCTGTTTTGTTTAAATACATTAATTTAACTGAAAGAGATCATCATCAGATTTTCACAAATCAGCATAGAACAAATGACACAGGAAGACATCTTCTTTCTTACTTGGACATGTTTGACAGCGCAAGATATGTTCATCCGAGAAATGTGAGAACTGTGAAGAATCTTACCGGACACATATTTAGTACGTTGGTACTAAAACAAAATACCAGCAGAATACAACAATCATAAGAAACTGCAATTGGACACAAGGATGAAATTATGTTTCAGGGAGAATGGTCCGCACTACTTACAAGCAAACTTGAAATCAACGAAGTCCGTTCGCAAGGACCTTTTAACATTTTTATTATTTTCTTTGCTATTGGAATTTTATGTTGAATAATATTTTAATTTAGTTTGAAAAATATTTTCCATTTTATATTTTTAAAATGAAAAAATAAAAAGTAAACAAAAACCTCGGATTTATAAAGTAAATACGGTAGCCAAAGAATAATAAGAAGTTGGACTATGACATTGTTTTACAACAATAACATTTCCTTCTCTTCACAGACGAGTTCTGTGTAAATTCAACACACTAGTGAGAACTCAATTCTCTCACAATACTTCAAAACTTTTTCGCGAAAATACCGGGATAATAGGACTTGAACGACGGTTTTTCACAAACACATAACTATTTTTTAATTTTTTACACAATTTTATCGCATTTAACAATCCGAAATATTTTTATTTTTCACAAACTAAAAAAATATTTTTTTTATTTTTTTTGACAATTAATTTTTGTGTGTTGAAATTAAAATTGACAAAACAAAGTTGTATATTTTGGTATTGAAAATGAAAAAATTATTTAAAATAAACTTATTTTTTTGCAAAAAAAGAGATTTTAAGTCCGAAAAATATATTTATTAAATGTTTACTCATTAGATGTGGGTAAAATAAATTAAAAAATCTGCGAATGTAGAAATTTAAATGTTATTTATTTTTCCTAAAATTTTTATGTACGATTTTATGCAAGTATGTATGTTTGGAAAGTGTGGTGAAAGTGGTTGGAGCTCCAATACTAATACAAAAATTCTACCAATATATACTTAGAGTTAGGTACCGAATGACAACTCCTTTACGTACCAACCAAGATATATTAATTATAAGGTAGTGTTATCAGAACAGCTGATCGTTTTTTGCTATTATGTTCATTTTTCGCCGTGGTGTATAATTAATGTCAAACTTTGTTTACATTTTGTAAATGTCAAACTTTGTTTTCATTTTGTTAATGTCAAACTGGTTTCATTTTGTATATGTAAATTTTGTGATTAAAGTGAAATTGTGTGATTAGGGTATATTTTTGTGTTTTTAATCTTTAAAAGTTAAAACATCAAAATAAATTATAAACAGATTCAAATTTATAAACATTTTTTGTTTAATTTAAATTCGCTTTGATGTATTTGTCAGCTGTTTTTGAAATTTTTCCCTTACAGCCAATTCGCCTTCAAGTGCAGGCACAATGTCAAACTACATATAAAAAAAATATAACCAATTCGCTTGGTATTCTGAATTCGCCGATGACACTACCTTATAAAATTAATATACCTTGGTACCAACCATAGTAGAAAAAATAAAGGTATAGCCGTTCTCTCTTTTTGTAGCCATATTAAACTTCTGACGTTTGGGCGAATTATTATTTTATTGCTTAAAATCGTGCTACCATATCTACCTTAAAAACCTATGTTTTTTGTTTACTTTTATATTTCTTTTTCAAATGTCTGTAAAAAATATTTTTTCAAACATAAATTAAAAAATATTATAAATAAAACAAATAATCCGTGAGATTACAAAATATAAATCAAATAATACTATCTACCAAAGTCTGTTGCTTCCAAATTTGTGTGTCGGGAGATGCTGCCCAGTCTCACTAGCCAGCATTATATGGGAGTTTCAACATACCATCAAAGAAGAAAGTTGCTGACGTCTTTGTTCTAGAGAATATAATTTTGATTAATAAATAGCGAAAATGTTCTGATCAATCTTATATGGTACTAATCTAGCAGCGCTCACGATATTTGATAGTTTTACTTCTTCAGGACCATCGTATATATTGTGTGTGTGTATGTCCGGTAGGCCATTTATTAACACTGTAAAGTCTAATAATATCCCTTTTAATCCAGTGGCATACTACGTTTTACAAAAAGGAAAATATCCTTATTTTGACCTGACTTTAAAACGGAATATGCCAGTGGATTCTATTTTCGATTTTCATTGCACACAGGCGACAAGATCTAGGAATACCAGTAAATCAACCAGTACCAGTAAATCAACCAGTACCTTTTATTCAGAAGCACGCCTTGAAGTCCCTTAAAAACCAAATAAAGAAATTAGGTGGCGTCATAATGTCCATGGACGATATGACACACTAAATTAAGTCATAGGTCCATGGACGTTGACAATTTTAAGTGTCACAATTTCTACGAGCAAAAGGACATAAAAAAGTACATTTATCAAAAATGTCTTAATATAGCGAAGTCGGTATTCGAAATACCCTAAAATGCAACATACACCAAATTTAGGAGCAACTCTTTTCGGGATTTTCTTTAAATCTAAATAAAATTTCTAAAACTTTTCTTTTTTAAAAGTGTCATAATGTCCATGGACATTCATTCGTTCTTTGTAAAGTGTTAGTTTATATAAAAATATAAAACAATAATAAAACATTTATTAAAACGTATTTATAATCGTTTATATTTGCAATTCACAACAGTTAGACTTTTTTAGTAAACAAAATTACACATTTTTTAATTCTGATTTCCTAAATATAATTTCCCTTTTAAATTGTGTGGTAACGTTTTTATTTATTTGTTTACAAAAACTAAGGCGCAATTTACATGAAGACTTTTCAGACGTCTGTTTTTTCCAATTCTCTTTTGAGAATCTTCCAAAAAATCATGAACATTTATACGGTGATTTTTTACATGCAACTATGCATGTCTTTTTTTTGATGTTTAATTGTATAATCCTTTTTAATTACTTATTCGTAATAAAAATAAAATTAAATTTTTAACAAAAAAACCATTTAATTTGATTTAAAAAAATTTAATAACACGCTATAGTATTTTTTAATTCAAATTTTAATGTTTTCATGTAAAAAAAAGACATAATTATTTTTTTACATGAGCATAATATCAACAGTACGAATGAGTTTAAAGAGGAATGTCAAAAACAATCATGAAAATCCCAAATCATGTTTGTTTTCTTACCCCCCATTCTTCTCTACCCCGCTCACCGCCAATCATCGACAAACACCCAATTTACACGATGATTTTTTTTCATGTTTGCCCAGACGTCTGTTTTCATGTTTGTCGATGATTGGTGGTGAGCGGGGTAGAGAAGAATGGGGGGTAAGAAAACAAACATGATTTGGGATTTTCATGATTGTTTTTGACATTCCTCTTTAAACTCATTCGTACTGTTGATATTATGCTCATGTAAAAAAATAATTATGTCTTTTTTTTACATGAAAACATTAAAATTTGCATTAAAAAAATACTATAGCGTGTAATTAAATTTTTTTAAATCAAATTAAATGGTTTTTATGTTAAAAATTTCATTTTATTTTTATTACGAATAAGTAATTAAAAAGGATTATACAATTAAACATCAAAAAAAGACATGCATAGTTGCATGTAAAAAATCACCGTATAAATGTTCATGATTTTTTGGAAGATTCTCAAAAGAGAATTGGAAAAAACAGACGTCTGAAAAGTCTTCATGTAAATTGCGCCAAACATGAAAACAGACGTCTGGGCAAACATGAAAAAAATCATCGTGTAAATTGGGTGTAAATATCAAAAAATCTTATTTACGTCAAAAAATTTTTCATTAAGAGAGAACGGAGTTACCTTGTTTTCTTTATACCATGGTACCAACCATGATGTAATAAGTAAGGTGAGAGCGTTTGGGCAACAACCACAACAAACACAATATTTTTTTGTTGTTTTGAGTATGGGTTTTGTCAAAATGAAATTTCTAAAATTGAAAAATAATAAATATTGGAAAGAAAATTTTTTGCGTATTTCACAATATTACGTATTTCACAATATTACCTATAAAACCGTCGTTACATTTAAATTGTATTCGCAGCAGGACAACGTTATATTGCTGGTTCATCAGAATTTCTTCATTTGGAACCCTTTTATCAGCATTTTCATTAACAATTTTTGGTCTGAAATTTTTTCGTTAGAAAACACAAATTTAATTTTTATGTTAGAATAAAAATAAATACATTATTTTTGACATAACCCAAGCACTTTTTAAATAAACAAATAAAAATCAGCTGCCTTGACGATTTCACCTTACTTAGTGCATCCTGGTACCAACTGACAAGCCCCAATTTCTTTATATTCTTTGACGTTAGCATAGAAAATAATAAATCGCTTAAACGTCAGAAGTTTAATATGGCTACGAAAAGAGAGATCGGTTATACTTTTATTTTTTCTACTATGTCGAAAACTATGCAAGATAATTTCATGAAAGTCATCATGCATTTGTTTCCACACAAGATTCCTGCTGAAAATTGCCAGAATCGGTCCATAATTTCATATACCTCCCATACAAAAGTACATATTCCCGGAAAATGAGTTTTTTGTTCCGTCAGAATGTTGATATCTTCACAAAATTTTACAAATTAGAATCGGATGTCAATAGCATTCATTGGGAGAAAAAATTTTCTGGACATAGCTCCCATACGAGGTCCCCTCCCGAAAATAACTTAAACGCGCATAACACATTACTAAATTTAGATATCCATATAAAATTTGGCACAAGTATTGCTCATATACAGATAAATATTACTGTGAAATTGTTTTTTTATCGGTCCATAATTTATCATAGCTACCATCCAAGGTCCCTTTCAGAAAAACACTTAAAGGAACATAACTCATTACCAAATAGTGATACCCATAAAAAATTTGGCGTACATACTATTTTTGTACACAGAAATGTTATTTCAAAAATTTTTCACGATCGGTTCATTTTTGGTCATAGCTCCTATACAAGGTTCCCTCCCGAAAATCACTTAAACGCAAATAACTCATTACAAAATATTGATATCCATACATTTAGCACAAATATTGCTCTTATATACATAAATTACAATATTGCTCTTATATACATAAATTACAATATTGCTCTTATATACATAAATTACACTATAAAATTGTTTTACGATCGGTCCATATTTGGTCATAGCTCTCATACTAGGTCCCCTCCAGGTCACTTAAATGCACAATATTCATTACCAAATAATGATATAGATACAGAATTTTTAAATTTTGTCTTTATATACATAATTGGTCAAAGCTCCATACAAGGTCCTTTTACGGAAATTTCTTAAACGCACATTACTCATTACCAAATAAAGCTATTGACACAAAATTTGTCACAAATATTAGTTTGGTATACAAAAATTTAACCGTATTTAACTAGTTGCATTATCAATTTGTGTAGAACAAAATTATATATACAGT